AGGTGTTAAATTATGAAAGGACGTTTGCCAAGGTATAGGAATAACAGGACAAAATAAGTGCACAAAGCCAAAAACAATTTTCAAAAAATTCGCATTTACAGAATACTGACTTATCTATGATATTATGTTATTGAAACATCGCTTTTTTGTCTTTATATTTTTTGATACTATCATATTAGAATTTCATACATGGTATAAGTATTACCTATTAATATTCGGACGTATTGTCAAGGACTGATAAGCCATATTCTGGAAGTGTTAAATCCAAAGTTCAAGAATTATAGTTCTTCATCAAATTATAAAACCGATGAATGATAACCTATCAAAATTATAAGAAATATGAAGAATAGCATATCTGATAAGGCATGAATGGATGTGCAAGGAGGATGGATACTATGATAAACCTGTATGAAGAGAAGAATATAGTGTAACTATCGGTAAGAGAGCTTGTCGAATGGTATAGACAATAGGTCAATTTAACTTCAACGGTGTAGATAAGTTTAGACGATTGTTTGAGGATGGTTTGTAGAACTTGTAAGTAGTAGTCTTGCTGGATAAATAAACAGAGTCTTGTAATCAATTGTGAGTCTCGTTCTCTACCAAATGGCAATATTTGATCCCATGAACATTCTAGAATCAGAGTCTTAATAAGCCAAATCGAAATTACAAGTCAGTTCAATCTGTCAAATTGAATTTTAACAAGTCGAATTCAGCGGACATTCAGATATAAGTATTCACTGTTTATTATTTATTGGTAATTGATAGTGGACAAGAACTTAAAACTTTCTTTATTAAATTCAAAGTGTTTATATACATTTTTAATTTTATAGGGCATTTATACTCAAATTTGAACGAATTCGCTTTGAATTGAACGTATACACTCTTTTTTGAGTATATAAACTTTAATTTGAGCGAATACGTCCAAGGCGCAGGAATCAACAGGTTGGTGGAATTGCATATTCACGATAATTTGGAGTGTTCACCATGATTATGAATTATTGGAAATTATAAAATAAAGAAGTCAGATTTGGTCTTGTGATTTTGATGAAATTGATTATTGATTTATATTTATATATATTGTTCAATTTTTAGACCAGTATGTATTTTCAAAAAAAAAATACAGTACACCCTCCCAAATCCGATAGGCATGGTGGACAGCTTTTGTATCAGTTTTGAGAGGTTATCAGATTTAAGATACTAATAGCTTGCTGATTACGTAATTATAAATAAATATAATTTGCTAGATTATATATTTATTATATATCTACTTGGTCACACAAAGCTCGATTCGAGCCAATTGATTTACATTACCCGACAAACCCGATATCTTATAGGTATCTGATTATTTGAGTATCGGTTATCAGAAATGGCAGGTTATCGGGTTTGAATTATGGAACAGACATGGTGAAACAATTTTTTGTTGAGTATAACAGGTTATCAGTTTTGACAGGATCAGTTTTGGGAGGGTAGACTGTATATGAGAATCTATAAGATTCCAGATCTACTTTACTAGCATAAAAATGCTAGCATCCTCAATTCACAAGCAGAATTAATAGAATTATTCAGTTATAAAAGGATTAGATGAAGTTCAAAGTTAGAGATGTATCTCGTGTAAGGTAAAACTATCATACATTTCACAAATCATATGACTTTGTGTGAAGTGCGAGATAAGATCAATTTTGAGTTTAGTGAATTATAGATTTTGGTGATAACTCTAATACACTATATTTTTTTTTATATTTGATAATCACTACTTTGTACGATAATTATGGACGATTAAAATTACGAAATAAAGAAGTTGGGATTTGGTCTTGTAGTCTTAATGGAACTGATGATTGATTTATATTTATATTGTTTAATTTTTAGATCAGTATATATTTTTTAAAAGATATATAAGACTCTATAAAACTCCAAGTCTACTTTACTATTATTATGAGCAGGATTAATGGAATTACTCGGTTATAAAAAAAGATTAGATGAAGTTTAAGATTAGAGATATCACCAAAATCTATAATTCACTAAACTCAAAATTGATCTTATCTCGCACTTCACACAAAGTCATATGATTTGTGAAATGTATGATAGTTTTACCTTACACGAGATACATCTCTAACTTTGAACTTCATCTAATCCTTTTATAACTGAATAATTCTATTAATTCTGCTTGTGAATTGAGGATGCTAGCATTTTTATGCTAGTAAAGTAGATCTGGAATCTTATAGATTCTCATATACAGTCTACCCTCCCAAAACTGATCCTGTCAAAACTGATAACCTGTTATACTCAACAAAAAATTGTTTCACCATGTCTGTTCCATAATTCAAACCCGATAACCTGCCATTTCTGATAACCGATACTCAAATAATCAGATACCTATAAGATATCGGGTTTGTCGGGTAATGTAAATCAATTGGCTCGAATCGAGCTTTGTGTGACCAAGTAGATATATAATAAATATATAATCTAGCAAATTATATTTATTTATAATTACGTAATCAGCAAGCTATTAGTATCTTAAATCTGATAACCTCTCAAAACTGATACAAAAGCTGTCCACCATGCCTATCGGATTTGGGAGGGTGTACTGTATTTTTTTTTTGAAAATACATACTGGTCTAAAAATTGAACAATATATATAAATATAAATCAATAATCAATTTCATCAAAATCACAAGACCAAATCTGACTTCTTTATTTTATAATTTCCAATAATTCATAATCATGGTGAACACTCCAAATTATCGTGAATATGCAATTCCACCAACCTGTTGATTCCTGCGCCTTGGACGTATTCGCTCAAATTAAAGTTTATATACTCAAAAAAGAGTGTATACGTTCAATTCAAAGCGAATTCGTTCAAATTTGAGTATAAATGCCCTATAAAATTAAAAATGTATATAAACACTTTGAATTTAATAAAGAAAGTTTTAAGTTCTTGTCCACTATCAATTACCAATAAATAATAAACAGTGAATACTTATATCTGAATGTCCGCTGAATTCGACTTGTTAAAATTCAATTTGACAGATTGAACTGACTTGTAATTTCGATTTGGCTTATTAAGACTCTGATTCTAGAATGTTCATGGGATCAAATATTGCCATTTGGTAGAGAACGAGACTCACAATTGATTACAAGACTCTGTTTATTTATCCAGCAAGACTACTACTTACAAGTTCTACAAACCATCCTCAAACAATCGTCTAAACTTATCTACACCGTTGAAGTTAAATTGACCTATTGTCTATACCATTCGACAAGCTCTCTTACCGATAGTTACACTATATTCTTCTCTTCATACAGGTTTATCATAGTATCCATCCTCCTTGCACATCCATTCATGCCTTATCAGATATGCTATTCTTCATATTTCTTATAATTTTGATAGGTTATCATTCATCGGTTTTATAATTTGATGAAGAACTATAATTCTTGAACTTTGGATTTAACACTTCCAGAATATGGCTTATCAGTCCTTGACAATACGTCCGAATATTAATAGGTAATACTTATACCATGTATGAAATTCTAATATGATAGTATCAAAAAATATAAAGACAAAAAAGCGATGTTTCAATAACATAATATCATAGATAAGTCAGTATTCTGTAAATGCGAATTTTTTGAAAATTGTTTTTGGCTTTGTGCACTTATTTTGTCCTGTTATTCCTATACCTTGGCAAACGTCCTTTCATAATTTAACACCTGACTTTCAGGTAAGTTGACATCTCATTGTCATGATATTTTATCGTCACCTGTCTATTAACTTATACTTTTTTTTATTTAGATTTATGTTAGCATTCATTATGTTTACGAAAATACAATATTTAAAACTATAGCACATATAATTTTTGAGATCTAACCTTATTTTGATGCCAATTTTTAAAATTATATATATCTACTAGTATTCTCCATCTTTTTGATTTGGAAAATAAAGGCATGTCTTGTTTGATTTTTCTCAACACCAATCCAAGCTTAAATATTTTATCGTTAAATTCTATCTCTAGAATTCAGTGTTGGCTATAGCTCATTGTAATCTATCGGCTAATCATAGATTATGACCTTATGACATTTTATAAAATTTATTATTATTTTATGCCACCTTGGTCATATAAAGTTACCAACACTGTGGAATTGATGGTAATTAATAGATGCTTAGCGTTATCTTTTCAATACACACTCTATTTTCATAACAATAACTAAGATTATACGTTCCAATAACATGTGGATTTGATAACTAATAAATGTTTAGAATTCGTAAATTTTAATACCAATTCCATTTCAGAATGATATCCAGATTTTATTGATACGTATTATTTCTGGACAATTGAGCGCTGCAGAGAAAAAAATATAGAAGTGAATATTTTGAACAATGAGTTACTTCTGAAAAAATATAATTTATCATGTTTTGGCAGGACGTTATCTAGATATTATATAATACCAATTGTCAATACCAATACGCAGTGTATAAAATCTAAATTACAAAATATATGCACAAGTTAAATTTTTTGATTTTATATACTGTCAATACGTAATATCATAATTTTAGAGAGCTAAATGAAAAATACTTACTTCTAGATTTTTCTGCAATATCCAATTACGTAGTAGATCTTTCTATTCATTCTTTTCAAGTTCGTAAAATAACATATTCTAATAATTAATGAATCTCTTATATTTATCTTTTTTATACCCAATTTTACTCCTTATCTTTATCAAGTTCAATGCATATATTCTATATATCTTAAAGTTTCTTTCTTGTTAACAGACTATCTCTTATACTGATTTTATCACTTATTAGTTCTTTCAGAAGAATCACATCCATTTTAATTAATATTTTAAAATATATTTTCATTCACATAAAAATTTTAATTATACTGTATAAAAATTATGAAATAATTCTAATTTTAATAAAATTAAAATTTATAATATCTAATATTCAAACATCAATTGAAAGTAAAAAATAATAAATGAAGTATTTTTACTATTAGTAATTATACTTCTTAATTTTGAAAATATTTCTTAGCCATAAAAAAGTGAATATATATAAATCCTGCCTGACAAATATTTTTTTTAGCATCACATTCTTTTTTTTTACGCCATTCAATAATCACATCTCCACAAGGATAATTTGGTTTTCGGACTTGTTTTTTTAAATTTTTAATTGTAATATTTGTTGCTTTTTCTTGAGCACATTGAATCAATGGATGCTGTTCTTGAGATAAATTATGTGGTGATACTAATTGAACATAGGTTTTTTGATTCTGGGAATAATATTTAATTCCCCAATTAGTATTATTAAGAATTTTGGACAATTCTTGATATCTAGTAGATCCACGAAAAATGCATTTAGAAACTCCCGTTCGTTTGTTATAACAATGAATATAACCTTTGAAAATAACTTGAAATATACTTTCAGACAAGTAAGAGAAACAGCTTGAAGCCTAGTATTTTTTGAATTCTTATCAAGTCGTCGATGAATTAAATATACAATATCATTTTTGATCTTAGTAACAATTAAATCTGGTATTTTTTCTTGCTCTTTCGATAGTTCATTTAATTTACGAATAGTATTATTATGTTTTGAAAGTCCACGATTAGTTTTAAATTCTTTTTGGCAAAGTGAACATTTAATCTTGCAAATCGAAGTTGAATTTTCCATCTAAATATATAATAAAAGTTAATAAAAAAAATATTTATTATGTTTTTATATAACTATTCTTAACAAGTTAAATTTTCAAAAAATTTTAATTAGCCTACCTCTAAAAAGTGATGGGTTTTTAGAACGAGTGATGGGTTTGACTCAATATCTCTTAAAATTTTTGTTTTGTTTAAGGTACATCAATCATTTGACTAATTAATTAACCAATTAAATTTGACTAATTAAAAATTTAGGGATACAAAATTATAAATTTGGGGTTTTAAAAAAAGGTTCAATTCCACAAATTGGCGTATATGAATTTTATATATAAAAAATTTAGATGCAAATAAGTGTGACAAATTGGGTGACTGATATATATATATTATTTATTGTCGCGGCTGATGCTGGAAACGGTTGAAGCTGGAAATCAGGGACCCTGATTTAAAAATATAAACCCTGCCAAAATCCACTTATACTCTTTCATTATAAAAA